AATTTTATATGCCAATTTTTGCGACAAACGAAAGAGTAAAAATCTCATAACTAAGCAAAAAATGCATTAAATTCAATTTGGTAACTTTTCGTTTGTTAATTATTTTTGGGTTAATAAATCTTTTGACTAAAATTAAAATAACTTACAATGCTGCAGAGAATATACAAGTAATAATAATTGATATTAAGCAGTATGATTCCCTGTAAGGTTATAATAGCTGGTATAATATAATGTGTAAATAAAATATATACATAAATTAATTTGAATCATGAACCTAAAGCCCGTAGAAAGTAAAGATCACACACATATTTGTATCTACAGGTTGAAACGGACTCTACACGGTTTTTAGTAATTTACTTTGACTTCTACTCGACATTATGTTCATAAAGTTGGCTCTGCTACTTAAGGCTAGGAGTAATTAGGTTTTCCAGCCATTTTCTGCCTTCTATGACATTTTCCGAGACTGAAACAGATTGAGTTGGATGCGTAGTCATGAAGGCAAGTGTTTTTTCACGAAATAATCGTCACAAGACCTTTAAAAAACTATAAGGAAACCTGATTCCATTTTTTACACATCATGTTAAGCCGTTTTACCAAAGTCTTCAACCTTTTCATAACAGTTGAAGCTAGTTTAACACACAGCATCACACACATTGTTTCTTTAAAAATATATATATATTTAATCGGAGTTAATAAATTGAAGCTAAATGCAAATTAACAATTTTAAGAGAGATCACAAATATAAATTTATAAATGTATACAAAGGGTTTTGATAATTATAAAGTAGGAATATTTAATATTTATTTGGAATTTATTTAAATTCTATGTTTAAATATTAGAATAGGATGATGAAATATAAATTTGAATTTGAATTGCATTGAGAAACATACATTTCAATCCTTATCGATTTACAATCAATGGAAAAGGATACCAAAAGTATGCCTCCAGTTCAAATCTAGTGGGAAATGTATTTTTTGAAAGATATAACCTCTTGAAGCATACTCTTGGACACCAGTTAATGGCATTTCCCCACCTGGTCTACCTTCTGCCACCTTGCTGCAGCTCTTCGGAAACTGCAACAAAGCAATTGTTGCCGCTGTGGGAAATGTGAAATGCAGCATGAATAACAAAACTGCAAACAACAAACAATAAACAATAAACAATCAACACTAATTAACACGCGACCAGCTAAGAGAGAGAGAGAGAACGAGAGAGCGCCCAACACTTGACCTCATATTTGAGCAACTGGGAGAGTGGCCAGAGCCTTTTACCTGGCGGAAAACCTACCTGCACAGCAGAAGAGAGCGTGGAGAGCGAGAGCAGCCCAAAGATCAATCGGAGCGGTGAGCTTACCTTTCCAGGTGAAGCCAACAGTCTGCGTCTGAAGTTGCAAATGTTCGCATCGTTGCTCGCCGTCGCCTTAAAAAGCAAATTCGGTTTGTGGAGTGAATAGAAACCATAAAGAAAAACCCAATTAAGTTTATAATTAATCGCGCCAAGAGGTCACCGGTTGGCCAAAGCGAAATAGTTCAAAGAAGCCAGCAGCGAATCAATCTAGACACCGCTGCTGTGTGGCACGGAGACGGGTTCGGGGTACCTTCGACGGGTATCTAAGCGCATGTCTACACTGTAAACCTGGGAGCTGGAGTTGAAGTTGGAAACTCGTTTTTCAAAAAAAACAAGCGACCGAAAAAGACGAAAAAAAAGTCTGCACAAAACGAGAAAATAAGCGCGCCCGCGAGAGGAGCGAAAAAAAAGCACAACAATAATCAGAAATAAGAAATAAGAAAAGCAAGAGGCGAAGGAGGAGGAGGAGGAGGAGAGGAGGATCCAGAACCAAAGTATCTGGCGGATGCCGAGGAGAGCCGCCGGCCAGGCCAAGAAGGCTCGCTGAGATTTGGTGTGCTGCTGCTCGCCCTTCTGCATTCTTTTTGCTTGTTTGCTTATATTTTTTTTAAGTATTATTTTTTTTCCTTCGTTGTATTTGGTGTGCTGTGCGGCCGCTTCACTTGTTGCAGCTGCATGTAGCTATAGATATTCGGGTACGGGTTCGCGTTCGGGTTCGGTTTGTATGCCATAGATACAGATACAGATACAGAGAGCCTGTGCGGAAAACTGAAAACCTGTTTCCCCCAAGTGCGTGTGTGTGTGTGTAAAGTGTGTGTGTGTGTGTGTGGTTCAGTGAGAGCCTGCTCACGGACACGGAGACGGAGACGGATACGGCGGATACGGGATTATTATTCAAATAAGAAAAGTTACTCGAGTCGTTGTGGTCGCAAAGTCGCCTCACAAATGTACAACAACGATGGCCACATTGGGCCTGTCAAAAGTCTTCATACTGGATAAATACTTTACCGAATTGCAAAATTTTGGGAGACGGAGAAGAAGCTGCAGGGTAAGTGAGACATTATCCCCCAGGAATTTCAACGGGTTTCTTTTTTCTTTTTGCGGCTGCTCTGTGACTCGCGTCAGGCGAGTGCGGCAAGAAGTTCGTTGCCTAAGTCTTTTGATTTGGCTTGGCTGCAGGCACACGTCGATTATACAAATTAAATAATATGCTAAACAGGGATGTAAAATCATAACAGGGATTGATATTCCTTAAAAACTGTCGATTTTAGCTATATTTTTATAACCTGACAGTGTATTACAATTTTAGACAGCAGCTTGTTATGATGTGAAGGAGTCATTTCCGAGCCTATAAAGCATATATATTCTTGATCAGCATTAACAGCTGAATCGATTAAGCCATGTTGGGTTGAAAAAAAAATGATAAGGAATTACATCATTAAAATTTTCAAAAATTCTGAAATTAATTAATTTTCTAAAATATTAAATTGAGCATGCGGATTTATTAACCTAATAAAAACAGAACGCTTTCCGAATTGAAATTAAAGCATTTTTACTGAGCTATGAGATTTTTAAACTTTGCTTTGTCTTAGAAATTGTAATCTAAAAATATCGATTTAAAGAATAAAGAATATTTATATTATAAATAAATGTTTTTTATAACAAATATTAAGCAGCGTATCATTAAAACTAAAATCAATAAGTCGACCATTTTCTCGTTTATCAATTAAGATTGATTTGAATGTGGCTTAGTTATTTTGTTTCATATGAATAATACACTGCTTTCTATTTCATTTATATTGTAATGTAACAATATATTCATTTTATAGAAGCTTTCAACCATAATAAACAATTTTAGTGCTTCATTAAGCTCCAAACAAGAAATGTTTATTATTGGTTTATAAGCTGTTTCGATCTCCTTCCTGGGATCAGAAGTCACCGCTGGCAGTTGATTGGTTCTCGACTCACTTGTCATACCATAAGAAGCTGAGTCTCTGTGTATTTCAATCAACCTCCAAGCGCATTCATATTCATAACCATCCCCAACAACTTACAGTCCGAATACCCTTATTTGGAGAGCTTGATCTTACACACAAAGAAAATTGAGCATTGTATTATATAATTTTGATTCAACAAAAGATATTAGAAATGTATTTGCATATCAATTGGATGCTTGTAATGAAACTCACAACCATTCTATAATTAAAATGGTTGTGCTTATTTCCTTTTTATTAACAACCAAATTATTAATGATTATTGAAGTTGTTGAGCAGCTAAAACTTTGACTAAATATTAAATAATCTTTAGTATTACACAAATCAAAATCAATTGAAGTTAAGGCCAATATTTATTACTGTGTAGCTCTGGGTGCTGTTTGGTATATGGGTGCCGCATGGCCCCGACTTGCAACATTTCGTTGATGCTGCTCCCTCGGCTGCTCTCCCTCGCAACCCATACCGAACTCCGATGGAGTCGGAGTCGGAGTCGAAGACGTCTGGACAGAGAGACGGATAACCTGAGCTTGGTGCGACTCCGACCAGTTTTTTTTTGGCTGGGCTGGGACTTCGTTTACTCAGCTTCCAAGAAATGTTTTCTTTCCCCCGCCCCAACTTTTTCGACATGCAAAAGCCTTAAGATACAAGTAAGGAAGCCAATAGCGAAACGATGACGAATTACTCACAAATGTTACAAATTAAATTTAATGACTTACCACGGGCCCCATAAAACTTTGATTTCCAATCACTAAATGGGGTAAAAGGTCCGTCGCAGCTTCATAAAAAAAATAACAACAACAGAAAAAAAAGAAAAAAAGAGTCTTTAAAAAAGATTTCAAAATACCTGCATGACTTGGATGGCAAGTCTTTTCTGTACCCTTTTCCGTGGCTTTTGTCTTACATTTCTTGAGTGCAGCTGTGGGCAGCACAAGAAACAACAAATCGAAGAAAAAGACCGAATCTAAAACTGGTTTCCTCCGCCAGAGCTAAAGCCATCAATGATATGATTTTCTGTATTTTGTCGAATCTCTGATTTTGTTGTAAGCTCCTCCATGCCAGCCGTTGTCGCTCTCTGTTTTGATTTTAGAGAGAGAAACAGGCTTTTTGTGGAAGGGTCATTTTCCCCCCTAGCTTTTCATCAGCTAATTAGTTTGATTTTTGTTGAATGATCTATGAAAATTGGTCAGAGCTTAGCTTGGCCCTCTGGCTTGACTGGGTTGTAACAATGACCTCTCTCGGCCTGTTTTGAAAGTTTCCATAAATCTTTAGTTCTTGACTCTCTTGTTTAAGATGCCGCCAATTTTGTGTGTGTGTCTGTTTTCGGTTGTGTTTCATCTTGGCGCATTCTGTGTCTCCATTTTTCTTCAACTCTGGCGAAATTGGTTCATTAACATTTTATGTAAATCTGCCCCATCCATATCTATTAAAATATCTTAAGATGCTCGGTCGGCACAAGCCTCTGAGAGGCCAGACTCGCGTGCAAAAAGCTATGTCAGCCTAAGCGGAATTAATTGGTGTGAATTTGATTTTCACTGTATTGAGTTGTTAATTGACAATGCGAAAATTCCTTTTCGCCAGAATTAGTGTGTCGATATTTGTAAATGTTCCATCGTTCTAAACGAAATGTTTGAATGTTTAAAAGTAAGAATGATTCCTTGATTTAGTTGTCAAAGTCTAGTCCCTCAGCATACTAACTTTCCCCACATTGAGCACACAAAAGAACCCTAGCGAAGTTGAAAGTTTACTTGTTACAATTGCTCCAAAATGTTGGAAATGATCAATGAAACCATACCCGAGGTGGACATGCTCAAGGTGTCCAAAAATGCAGAGGTGCAGCGACGTGCCATTTTGGGCTTTGCTCCCCGCATCGGATTGACCATCGTGGATTATGGGGATCTCGACAGGATCGACAATTTCTATCTGGAGTCCCAGAAGTACCGTGACTACTACCGTGATCCCCACAACAAGCTGCACAAGCCGCTGCGATTTAGCCTCCACCAAGGAAAGTGTGCCATTAAGCTGGACACTAGCGTTGAGCAGCTGACCCGTCCGATCATATGGACCACGGAGCGGCAGCCACTGGTCTATCCCCTGTCGGGCGACACTGCCATGCATCTGGGCATGTCAATCCCGCCCATGATTAGAGGCACCCATGCCAAGTCGAGCTCCATAGCCTTCAAGCGCTAGACGGGAGAGACGAATGCATAATCCTTGAATCCTTTAGGATGGTGTTTGCTTTTAGCAATCTAAATTATTGTGCAAACCCCTTGTCTTGGCTATTAAAGAACCATTCTTTTCTACCCGTATTTTGTCTTATTAATCGTTTAGTATTTGAACTTGTTATTCTGTAAATATTTATAAATATAATGATAACTAGATGCTACTTAATTGTTTCTCTACCTCAATTAACAGCTTCTGTGCAGAGCAAAGAAGTTTGGGAAAAGGATCAATAATTATTAAAAATCAATAAGAACAAAGACAATTCATTTTTATATAATGGTTATTAACTTATGTATATATGTACCTTTTTCTTGATCCTTCAGATGCATCTTCATCCAATGAGGCGGTTCACCTGCAGCAGCGACTCAAGAGCCTGAGTACCGAACTGGTGACCCTTCGGAATCGCCTGCATGTTGGCCAAGGTCAGGGTCAGGGTCAGGGACAGAGTCCGGGCCATAATCAGGGCCAGGGCAATGGATCACAATCCCATGGCTCACCTGGCGGCAACAACTCGTGCCCCAAGGCGAGTAACTTTGATCTTAATGCCTCAAGTCCCAACCTAAATCTCAGCTCCAGCGGAGGAGGACTCTCAGCCAGTGCCCTGCAACAACACACAAATGGACAGCATACGGCATCGAAGGTAAGTTAATGCTTAAATATATTTAAAAAATATTAATTTATCATTTAAATAAGTCTTGATCCTGTCGAACTTCATTAGTATTATTGGTAGCTCATTTGTTCTTAATTTCGAAGTCTTATTCATTCAATTGATTTTATCCTTGAAATCTTTTTAAAACATGAACAGAATATTAAGCAGAGATTGAAATCTTGAGCCGATTCTTTTTAAATGTAATTAATATAACTAAAAAGTTATATATATATATTAGTTATATATAAGGAGTTTACTTATTTATTTCTTCTTTAAAACTTACCTTAAACTCTAACTTATTTTGAATATCTTCTCTCTCCAATAGAATCACAACTTCAGCCAGACGCTGCCATCGAACTCTGGCTCCGGGGCTGGTGTCGGAGCTGTGGTGTCGGCCAGGAACACCTCCATTCCGCACCCACTTCCGCACCAGCTGGGCGAGAAATCTGGCCTGTCGCACCAGCAGAGCGCCAACGGACGTGGCCCGTCCTCCGGGACCCTGCCCCACGGGAGCAGCATGGGAAGCATTATGGGGCTGAGTTCCCATGCCCATTCCCATTCGCAAACACCAGGCGCTGCCCACTCCAACAGCAATTCCAATTCCAACACGCTGCCCATGCGCTCCTCAAACACCGGACACCTGAGTGCCACCAATGGTGGAATTGGCCAGCACGCCCTCAGCCATGCCCATAGCCAGCAGCTGCCGTTCATCCCACAGCCGAAGCACGCCAATCCCTGCCAGAGTGTGAAGACGCTGCCCTTTGGCTTTGGTTTCTCTGGTGGCCAGCAGAGGCTTCAGCAGCCGACCAGTCCCCTGCCCAAGGACATGCAGGATCTGATCCATCTGACTGGACCACTCACCGAGCACGCCGTGATGCGGACGCTGCAGGCGCGCTTCAACGAGCAGCGATACTTTGTGAGTATGAAAGAGATCCCTGGAGATCTCTGGAGTCACTAGACTCGCTGCAAACCGGTTCCAGAGACACACTCGGAGCAATTATTCTGATAGTTTGTCATTAAAAGCCAACTCCGTTTGCACTCGGCCGCAGATTAACAGCTAATTTCGACAATTACTCAGTGTGTATGTGCGCCCCTCTGGCGAAAGGCGAAGGAAGTGTTATGGTTTGCTGGTGATCTGGCTGGTCTAGGGAAAAGCAACTGAAGCAACTGGAGGATGGGGTGTGAGCACACATAACTGGTGGAGCTCCAGGCCTTTATTTGTTGTGCCTCCGCTCCAGATTATATAGTGTAAAACGGAGCAGAAAAATTGATTAAATTTAAATGTGCTGCCACTGCACCGTTTGTTTTCCTTTCTTTCTTTCATATTATTATAATTAAATAATTTATGGAGTCATAAAGCTTAAGTACACTTCGAATTGTCTTCAATTAGAGCATAGTGTATAAATATATGATTTATAGATTTAGTTATATTCACTTAAAGTTAAATGAGGCACAAACGAGCTTCCAAAAATTGCAATTTATTTTGTTAATTAAATACTTTACACTCTCTAAACAAAAGAGTGCCTTAAAGTTTAAATTGAATTAAATTTAAATAACATTTTAATAGAATTATTTGAGTCAAGAGACTGGGTTATATTTTTATTATTTTCCCTGGCTAGCCAGAAGTATAAATAATAGAACATTAACTTTAGGAATAGTTTTTTTCTTATCTGTCCAATTTTATCTGAGAAAACAAAGTTAGAAGTTCGCTTTTGAGTTCTCCAAGTGATTTTATCTTTCATATTCGAGGCTTTCCTGGAACTGACCAAAAGTACACCGGTCTTCTTGACTCATCACCTTTATTAATGCCCTCACATTTATCTTATTAAATATTTTGTTTGCTTTTCAGACAAACGTTGGTCCGATTCTGCTCTCCATTAATCCCTACCTGGATGTGGGCAATCCCCTGACACTCACATCCACTCGGACCCTGCCGCTGGCCCCCCAGCTGCAGAAGATCGTCCAGGAGGCAGTGCGTCAGCAGAGCGAAACGGGCTATCCGCAGGCCATCATTCTCTCGGGCACTTCGGGAGCTGGAAAGACGGCCAATGCGATGCTGATGCTGCGCCAACTGTTTGCCATCGCTGGCGGAGGACCAGAGACGGATGCCTTTAAGCATTTGGCCGCTGCCTTTACGGTGCTGCGATCCCTGGGATCTGCAAAGACCACCACCAATTCGGAATCCAGTCGCATCGGGCAGTTCATCGAAGTGCAGGTGACGGATGGAGCATTGTACCGCACTAAGATCCACTGCTACTTCCTCGACCAGACGCGGGTCATTCGGCCGCTGCCCAAGGAGAAAAACTACCACATTTTCTATCAGATGCTGGCGGGATTGAACCGGGAGGAGCGTCAGAAGTTGCATCTGGAGGGATATTCGCCTGCCAATTTGCGGTATCTGCGCGGTGACTTTGCCCAGAATGAGCAGGAGGATGCAATACGCTTCCAGGCGTGGAAAACTTGCCTGGGCATCTTAGGCATTCCCTTTCTGGATGTTGTGCGAGTCCTGGCCGCTGTCCTGCTGCTGGAAATGTTCAGTTCATCGATAGCGGGGTGAGTTGAGCTATATTTTTTTTAATTTAAAGATAAGTAAAATGCGAGAAATTAAAATTTATATTTGAATCCGGCGGTTTCACTTTAGTGAAACTGTGGCGCCATCTAGCTTACAAGTTAAGGTGTCGGTAAAGCAGTTAATATAAGCAGTATTAATATTTGGACAGCATAACTGCTGATGCCGCCTTGGTGCATGAGCTAGAGCGTCGGTCTCCCAATCCGCTTGCCGCGGGTTCGAATCCCGCTCCAGCTTTGTGTTTCCAAGATTTCTTGCGCTGATGGAATGTATTAATTTACATCGTCTAGTGGTAATTTACGTCTGAAAAGAACCGTGTTTGATGTTTTTAATTCTGAGCGAGAAATATTTTACCTTTTCCTCAACTTAACTAATTATTACTCTTTGTTCTTTCAGGGCCTCGAGGTGGACGTCAAGGGAGAGACGGAGCTAAATTCTGTATCCAGTTTGCTGGGCGTACCACCTGCCGCCCTCTTCCGCGGCCTCACCACCCGCACCCACAATGTGCGCGGCCAGCTTGTGAAGTCCGTGTGCGGTGATGGGGATGCCAACATGACGCGAGACTGCCTGGCAAAGGCTCTTTATTGCCGCACAGTGGCCACCATTGTGCGCAGAGCCAACAGCCTGAAGCGGCTGGGATCCACACTGGGCACCTTGAGCTCGGACTCCAACGAGTCGGTGCACAACCAGGCGGATGCTGCCTCACAACACGCCTCCACAATTGGCGGCGGCAATGCAGGCTCCAAGTCGATGGCTGCTCTCAACAATGCGGTGCGTCATGCCACCGATGGCTTCATTGGGATCCTGGACATGTTCGGGTTCGAGGAGCCATCGCCACACGCCCATCTGGAGCATCTGTGCATCAACCTGTGTGCCGAGACCATGCAACACTTTTACAACACGCACATCTTCAAGTCTTCGGTGGAGTCCTGCCGAGACGAAGGCATCGTTTGCGACACCGAGGTGGACTATGTGGACAATGTGCCCTGCATCGATCTGATTTCGTCCCTGCGAACGGGTCTCCTCAGCATGCTGGACGCGGAGTGTTCGGTGCGAGGTACCGCCGAGAGCTACGTGGCCAAGTTGAAGGTGCAACATCGCTGCTCCAGCCGCCTGGAAACAAAGCCCACCGCCGAGCCGCACGATCCACGCATGTTCCTCATCCGTCACTTTGCCGGCCGCGTGGAGTACGACACCACGGACTTTCTGGACACGAATCGCGACGTGGTGCCAGATGATCTGGTGGCGGTGTTCTACAAGCACACCTGCAACTTTGGCTTTGCTACCCATCTCTTTGGCTCGGAGCTGAAGGCTCTGTATGCCCAGCAGCAGGCGCCGCGTGGCCTCAGTTTTCGCATCTCGCCCACCTCCCACTCGGATCTGCTGAATGGGGACGAGCCGGTGTCCACGCTGACCCAAGACTTTCACACCAGGCTGGACAACCTGCTGCGGACCTTGGTGCATGCCAGGCCCCACTTTGTGCGCTGCATACGGAGCAATGGATCCGAGGCGGCCGGCAGCTTCGACCGGGCCACAGTGGTGCGTCAGATCCGATCCCTGCAGGTCCTGGAGACGGTGAACTTGATGGCCAGTGGTTTTCCCCATCGCATGCGCTTCAAACAATTCAATGCCCGTTACCGGATGCTGGCTCCATTCCGTTCCCTGCGCCGCAGTGAGGACAAGGCCTTGGAGGACTGCCAGCTGATCCTGCAGTATGCCATGGAGCAGCCTCCCGTACTGGATGGATCGGTGACACTGGCCTGGGCTCCCGGCAAGCGTCATGTCTTCCTCAGCGAAGGCATTCGCCAGCATCTGGAGCATCTGCGCACGGAGATCCGGCACAAGAGCGCCACCCTGATGCAGGCCACCTGGCGGGGCTGGTGGTGGCGCAAGAAGGTCGGCAGTGGTAGCCTGAAGCGTATCCGAGCAAGTCACCATCAGCCACAGCCGACAGCCAGTGTTCCGCTGGCGGGTAACAAGCCGGGCAATGGCCACACCTCCGCATCTCAGAGCAAGGCCGCATCCTCCACAATGGCCGCCCTGGCAGCAGTAGCAGCTGCTGCTCCCACGACAGGTGAGAGGAAGTTCTGTTACGGATCATTCCATCTAATAACTAAGTAACTTTTTCCACACAGTGCCTCGCCTTTCGGCCAAGTCCACAAACTTAGGAATTGGCGGTACTGTGACCAGGCCCAGACCACAACCCATTGCAGGGACTCCACCGCCGGATCCTCATGAGAAGTGCGACCAGAAGATCATACAACAGACCTGCAGTCTTTTCGGACTAGATTTGGTAACTAAGGAATGTGAATTTATATAATTTTTTACTAAAATAATTTATACTCAACAGGAACGACCGCCGCCGGTGCCCGCCTCCCGCTCCTACACTATAAGCGGTAACTCAAAGCTCGGCTATCCACAGAGTCGCGTCATGAAGATGAACTTCCCCGAGGAGGGCCAGGCGGAGACACAGCAACTAAAGAAAGGCGAGGCGGTGACCGTGGTGGGTGCATCCACTGGTCGTGGTCATTTGCTGGTGGAGCACAGGGGCCAGAGTTACCACGTACCCTTCCAGTACATGGAGCTGATGAGTTCCGGCAGCGGCAATGGCAGTACTGCTCCGACGGCGGCGATTCCGACAGGCCAGGGAACTGGCGTTAAGATTTAAAGATGGCTCCGGACGGATGCCAATCCCTTATGCTCCAAGACTGTATATAAATATCCCCATCATTAACGCATGCAAGCCAGATTTACGTAGTATTATTCATGTGTTTAAAAGATAAACGCCAATCCATAGGTTGTAATACAAATACACACCCACAAGTGCCAATCCAATAAGTTCTTCCATCTATATCATAATTATTATACACGTTACGGATACAAACTATTTTATATAAACTGGATAATTTTCCATGCTCTGAGTAATTATTACTAAATGTAGAACAAGACAAAGTGTGCCTTGGCATAACATAATATTTTTCAGAATCACATTTTGTACTTTGTTATTCTAAGAGTTCATTAATTCATTCAAATAAACGAGCATGCATTGAAACGTTCAAATACTTGCTTTACTTTAATTAAAAAATTATTTTGAATTGAATATAGTATTATTATTTGTTAAAAACACAAGTTTGTAGAAATTTTTCAATTTTAATTTAATTTTGAAATATTTTCATATTGTAACGGATATTTCTATAAACAAGCAGTTCAAGTTTATAGCAAGGAGTTCAGGTTTATAGCAAGCAGTTTATGTCGATCGCACACCGTATGGAGCCAGTGCTGCCAGATTTGAGTTGCCAACTACCGGTAAGCAGTGCAAACAGCTGACACAAGTGTGCTTGTTTTATTTATTTCATTTTTGTTTAGTTTTCACAACACGATTTGTTTAACCAAATGGAGAAAATTAATGGAGATCTGTGGCTGAAAATCCTGCAGTTTCTGCCCATGATCGATCAGATATCTTTGGCTCAAGTGAATGGTAATATCCAGGAATATGTGAAATACCATTGGCGTCACAGCAAGTCGGTCACGCTGACCCGCGATGTTTTGGAGTACTTCGGACCAACGAACCGCTGATGCTGGAGGGTGTGGAGTGCTGGTCAGGATCGGTGCAACGCCTCAAGATAAGCACCGGCAGCATGGCGCTGCTGAAGAAATGGACTCCATTCAGCTTTCCCCACCTGCGGACGCTCGACTGCGAAATGGAATACAATCTGGAGGAGGCCGACGATGAGACACTGCTCCTCACAAACCTGTTCCCGCTCCTGACGCACTTAAAGCTCAGCAGCAGCACCACCGGCTGTCACTTGTGGCGCTGGAAACTGTTAAAGGAGATGCATTTGATCTGGTGCGAGTATCTGGACACGGACACCTTCAAGGAGATCTTCAGCACGCTGCAGCTGACCAAGTTGACGCTGCTCTACTATGGCTATAACGTCACCCTGGGCGAGGAGGTGCTAGAGGCCGCTCGGTGCTCGACGCTGGAGGAGCTGCAGATCGATGATCACCACCTGCTGGGCGACTTCCTACCCCAGCTGATGCGCCTGCCCAACTTCCGACGCCTGTCCTTCTACACGCGCGACTACTACGAGTACTTGCTGGAAATGGTGGCCAAGAGTCATCCGCTCAAGGTGCGGTCGCTGCTCTTCCACGACTCCTTTTGGAGCAGCGACCTGGTCACAGACGCCATCGGAGCAATGAAGAATCTCCGCAGGCTGGTCCTGCAAGACGACGACATTGAGTCGCAACTGCTGCACGCCATCTGCCACAAGCTGCCGCATCTGGAGGAGCTGCATCTGCTGAAGATGCGCGACCTACCCTCACCCATCCATCTGTGGAAGATGGTAGGTGCCTGTCCCAGGCTCAAAATCCTCAACCTGTCGTCCACCAAGTTGAGCTATGAGATGGTCAAGCCCGATGCAACACGCTTGGCCAAGAATCTGCAGCATCGCCATGCTCCTCTGACCCTGCATCTCCACAACACTGGTTTGGACCCTGACAAGGTGTGTTTTAACTTCCGAAATTTATAAATACTTGCTAATATCAATGCGTTTTTTAGGTTCTTCCTGATCTAGAGCATCCGTATTTAAAAATCTCATTCGAGCCCATTAAACTCGAAATTTGGAGTTCACGTTTCGTGGAAATTGAATTCAATCCTGACTCTGAGAAACAAACTGCCTTGTCTTCGGCCTAAAATATAAATTCCTGCAATACTTTCAAAGTATTAGCTATGTTACAAAACTAAAGAGTAAGTACTCCAGATTTAAATTGTGATTGTCCTATGTTACGTTTGAAGGGTATTATAATGTTAATCAGAAGCTCATAACGTTATGACCCTATTATAATATCTGTATATTCTTGATGAGAATATGAGATTTTTAAAATTTGATTTGTCGAAAAAATTGTCATAAAAACAACGATTCAAATTCAATTTTAAGCTTTTTTAAATTGATTTCCGATTCGATCCCATAGTGCAAGTATATAAACTACGGCTTTCCGTAGTTAGTTTTATTTCTTGTTTTGTATATACTTTTGAAATAAAATCGTAATTATTTACAAGATTTAAAGTAATGGTAAAAACGCAAACAATAAGCCATAAGCATTTAAAAAGAATTTAGTCTTAAAAGACAAAGCCTTAAATGCTTGTTGCTTAATGTTCTGAGTTTAGCCTTTAATTATTTAACTAGGTCTGAGCTCTTGAAAGTGCCTTATTATCGATTTAACGTTCATGCTTCCACCGAAAGGCTTTAATAGAATCTACAGCCACATTTATTGTTCCTCGAAGTCCACTTACTAGCCAACGCCATACATAAATCAGCCGGTTCTAATTCGTCTTTAAATAAATAAATTCAATTGCATTCCTGCTTCATGGGTTTGCTAGATATCTAATGCGTTTGCAGCTCCCCAAAGGATACATTTTATGAGCACAGGATATTAGATGAATGGCTTTCAACCAACTGAGAAGGGTCGCAAGAGCACCATTTCCCAACTAACGATAAACCACAACTGTTGAATTCGAGTCAATTATTTATAACATTGGAATAATAATTCAAATACTTAATCCTCTCAAATTCACATAAAGAATAGAAACGTTTTTGATGTTCTCAAAATGTAGAATTTTATTTTGTTCGTGCCCGACTCACGGTAAGTGTTATGTATGCAGCTTTTCCATAGACACAATAATTATTAAATATATATGCAAGTAGACTTTTGTAGATATACATAACATATATATATATATACGGCTATATATATATTTTTGTATCGCATTGTTGTACGTGTTTTAATAATTTATATTTACAATCGATCGGTGAAGGATCTTGATCTTGTTGACTATTGAGTTGTTAAAGAATAAACTTAAAGTTTCGCTGGGTATTTTCCTTGGCTAATTTGGGGGCCAAAACGTTTTTCATATATGCATTTTATGTGTCTTGTGTATATAGTTGTCGTGTTTATGTAAGACATACCTAGTTAAAGATTTTTTGCGCGATTTTGCTTACACTTGAATATATATATATATTTATTTGGATATTTATTTCTCTCTTTTTAAGTTTTGCCATTTTATTTAACGACTAAGACGAGCGATTAAAAGAATTTCCGAGGAAGAGAAGATAATCTGGGATGGAAATGGACATTAAACGGGGTTCAACATTATCTTTAGGAGCAACAGTTTAACGTGTTTATTTCGGTGTTCGACTTGGTTATTCGTATGCATATATTTTGATATCTGGTAAGTATTTATTATTATTATTCCATAATACTGCAAAACACTTGTGCGGAAATTATGAAAACATGAGGTCAGATTCGTGATAAATATATATATGTACAATGCATAACAAACAATCCAACATAATGAAAGTCAGAGAGAGAGAGAGCTCTATAGAAGACACAAATTATGGGCCAAGTTTGAGTGTTGAGAAGAGGAAACTCGTCCTTAACGTCCGCAGGACTCGTTCAGCCAGAGTTTAGCGCCTTAGACATCGGTCTCAGAGCGTCGCCTTCGTCCAGGTCCTCCGGGAAAGTTTGCCGCAGCCAGACCCATGCGATGCTTCGCCTCCTGGGTACCGGAGTAGCCACGTGCCAAGCCAAAGTCCACGGTTCGCTTAGAGCTGTAAAGAGAGAAGACAGTATTTAATTTTCTATATTCTAACTAACTACCCAGTAACTAATTTATGAATAATTATTATTTAAAACTTACTTCTCGAGATCGTTGCGTGCCCTTATAATGGTGCGTCCAAAGCGAGTCATCAGCTCCATGAGTAGTTCGTCCGGCACCTCCTCCAGCTCATTGTAACCTCCGCCATAGCCTCTTCCATTGGATTGGCTATTTCAGGAGTCAGCGGAATGGAAAATTAGTATTTGCTTCTTTTGTATATATGCCGGTTTTATGGAACTTTGGCTAAACAGGATGTCTAATTACTTTGGCTCTGTTAAATTTGACATTTACTGGTTTAAAACCTTCATTTGCATGGAAACCCAATTATTTGCTAATGCCCAAATGTTGAGGGCATTTTCCATTCGAGCAATTGCTAATTAGTTCGGCAAGGCCAATGAATTTTTAATGACTGCCTCAACGGGAAATTGAGTTTGGGATTTCCCGAAATGTTACAACAAAAGGAACTGCTTTAATATGTGCAAGAAAAAATAAGTCTAAGTACAAGTCTTCTCAAATGTGTGGCCCGAAAAGCCTTCAACTTTGCAGGCACAATTTTTCGTCAACGTTTACATTTTATTAATTAAAAATTTCCCTCGCCCGGCAGCCAAGACTTTAAATGGGGGAGAAAAAGACGCTGACACTCGAAAGTGTGAAAAATACATATATTCCCAGCTCCTATATGGCAAGCACTTGCTCTAAACCAACTGCGACTGCAGGGGTAATTGCTTTTGGCCAAATATTTTTCTAACAAATTTTTCGGTTTTTGCATGTAAAGTGCCAAAAATGTGTTATGTGTCTCTCTCTCTCTCTCTCTCTGTACCGAATATGAAAGGATCTGTGGATATGGCTGTGGAATAGAGAAGGTACAACTACCTGGGCATGGGAGCTGCCTCGATGCTCGAGATGGCCAGGAAGCAGAATAGCAGGAAGGCCAAGGCGAAGCAAGCGCATCGGTTTGTCATCATTGTGCGGCTGTCTCCTGTAAAAGTTTAAATAACAATTTATAGAGAGAGAGGATGGATTAGATTGGTAACATCTATGTACTCTTTATAATTTTTTTCAATTTAAAAATGTCTGGGAGATTACAAAATATTCCCCTTTGCCATTTTGCAAATCCGAAAAGCTGTTGCGATTAATTTAAAATAACGTTGAAAGCTGTAAACTAAAATAAACTTGACCTTTCAATGCTTTTAAAGTGCTTTTAGGTTCAATATTTATTATCAATAAATTCAGTAATTGCTGTGTGGTGTCTTGCCTGATTGTGACACATATAGTATAGTTTTTTCCAAATGGATCAGCATTATTTTGGCTGCTTAATGCACTGCCCTTATTGTATCCCTTTTATATTTATTCAAAAAGTTTTAAAATTTAAAAGTTATAATTAATTTATAGTATTTAGTATCTTTTCTTAAAGCACTTTTAAATCCATTTCGATGTTTCATTGTGAGCATTCTAAAGTCAACATTCATCAGTGGCAACTAAATATCGATTGCCCGGGGTTTGAGCTTCCACTCGAAGCGGAAGTCGGGGGTTGACCAGGTTTTCCATTAAGTGATTCATTAACTGCTCAACGAAGCAGTCCCAATCCCAGCCCCATGTTGAAGGCAAACTCTGCTCAGTCCTCCTTGTTTGTCGGCAAGTCATTTGCGTTGGCTACTGGGCTAACTGAGGCAAATATGACCTGTGTCCCCGTTCGGATCCGTACTTTTGCATTGCTCAACTGCACTTCCACTTCCTGTCGCTGTACACGAACACCGCTCTCTATATTCCGGCCCCTCTTCCGTCCGTAAATGGTGTTGTCACTGCGTTGTGTTTGCAGTTGCAAAACTTTAGACTCGCACCATCGCACTGACATCATCCCATTGGCCAGACCCCACCCAGAAACAGCCGTGGCGAACTACCCCAGGGACCTCTTGACACCCAGTGACACACATCACCGACCACGCAACAGGCTGGACAAATAAATTGGCTCTTTGAGCCATCGGTGTCAGTCCAGTCTTTACCTGGCATCTCTCATCTCTCTCGGTTCATTTCCATTTGGAAGCGTCAACATTTGTCGATTGGCCACAGAGGAGGGGATTTTCGGGCCACCGAATAACGTGTTGGACAACCGCAACAACAGTGAAGTGTCAATAAATCATGGATAGCAATTCTAAATCATGTTGAACAACAGGTGTATAGAGCGAATTTAGAAGCAATTATCGAATGAAAAGGATATACATTTGAAGGATTCGACTAAGAGATACTTGGGACCGGAAAGGTCGACCTTTCGCACAAAAATTAATTCACCATCTGCGCCTCCTTTTGCCTGGTTCATAAAATACATAAATTAAAGACTTTATACTGAAAATTTCAAATTTAAGCCTTGTTTTCACCTACAACATCAACAATTCGTTTACAACATCAATTTGCAGCAAAAACAATATACAAAAATAAAAGAAAAATTAAATACATTAATCAAAGTACAAATTTAATTCGAATTAATAAGCCGATCGGTTCCCATCTATAGTTAACCGACAAATTTGAATTTGAATTTAAATTGTCGATCAGTTGCCGCACGTAAGTAAATCGATAAATTTCAATCAAATTTAAAAATCGATTAATTCCCGCTAAACAACACAAATTAGTTATTTTCTATATATACTATATATATACAATAACAATTTACAACAACAAAAAGACAATAAATATTTGAATTTAACTGCCAAATTTGAATTTGAATTTAAATAGGTATCAGTACCCGCCATGTCAGTTGACCGAAAAATTTGAATTTGAATTTAAACAGTCGATCAGTTGCCGCCACGAAAATAAAACAAATATTTCATATTTTTGGAATTGCATACTTTTGGGGTGCGGTGTAGCATACTTTTAGGATATACAATGAATTTGCATAAAATTAAATTTGCTTGCTGCTGCCTTCTGTTCGCCTGGTACTTCAGAATGGATTTGTACTGAAATTGACCAAATTGAAGGCTTGTTTTTGCCTACAACAACCACAGCATCTACACAACACAACAACAACAACAACAACAACAACAACAACAAAAGACAATAAATATTTGAATTTAACTGCCAAATTTGAATTTGAATTTAAATAGGGTATCAGTACCCGCCATGTCAGTTAACCGAAAAATTTGAATTTGAATTTAAATGATCGATCAGTTGCCGCCACGTAAGTATATCGATAAATTTGGATGACGATAATAAACTACAAGAAATATTGCATATTTGTGGGGATGCGGTGTAGCATACTTTTAGGATTACAATGAATTTGCATAAAATTACATTTGCTTGCTGCTGCCTTCTGTTCGCCTGGTACTTCAGGATGGATTTGTACTGAAATTGACCAAATTGAAGGCTTGTTTTTGCCTACAACAACCACAGCATCTACAACAACAACAACAAAAACAACAACAACAAAAAAAAAAAAAAAAAAAAACAACAACAACATCAAAAACAACAACAAATTTAAAATTTACAACAACTTAAGTAAATTATATTTAAAACAAATTAGAATTTACAAAACAAAAAACAAAAGCTATATTAATTTAATTAGCAAGATAAAATTCACATTTAAATAGCTGATGGTCTATTTCCCTCTTTTTGCAAGCCAAAAACAACTCCACTAACAATTTGAATTCCAATTTAAATATAATTTCCGCCACATTATATGATAAAAACAAAAAGAAAACCAAAATTTTAATTCTTTTCAATGTTAATAACCAAATAATTTTTAATAAATGATTACTTTTCAAATCTATTAAACCTATTTAATTTCTAAAATTGTCAAAAATTTATAAAATTGTTTTTTCTTTTATTTTTTTTATTTATATTATTACATTATTTATTTTTTTTTTTTTTTATTATAGTGTTATTTTTTACGAAATCAAAGACCTTGTCCTTGCTTATATTTCGATAATAAACCACTCCCTTTGCATGACTGGTCTTCACTTGTAAATGTTGTAAACAGATTAGATTGTTGCATGGCCGTCGGCCTTCAACAGGTGGCCCACTTCAGTAAACAAAATTAATTCAAAACCAATCAAATACTAAAACTCATTCATTTATTAATCGATGATCAGATGACCTAGGCCACGGGGGCGAAGCCAATGCGGTTGTTGCCCAGATCGAACTCGGTGTAGTACTGGCCAATGAAGACATCACCCAGGATCCAGAAATCGGTGCCCATGTACTCGAAGGCAGACATGCAGTTGCCATCCGACTGGATGATGTAGGACGAGGGGGTCAGGGTGAAGTCAGTGCCGCCGATATTGAAGGTGACATCGGGCAGGGAGCTGACGGTGGAGCAGTCAACGTAACCATCCTCACCCACGTTCAGGATCTCGGACAGGGTGATGTAGGCATTGTAGGGAGCCACGATCAGGGAGGTGCCAGTGTCGGCAATAGCCTGGCAGTCATCGCACAGGTTGTAGCCATCAATGGAGGAGCTAGCCATGGTGAACTGCCAGTAGCCCTCCTCGGAGATGGGCACATAGGTCAGGGCGCCGGAGTACAGGGAGGAGTCGGAGCCGCCGAAGATGAGCTCACCACCATCGGTGGAGGTGCCGGCGCGGGCCAGGTAGAAGGAGAACACGGACTGGTCGACCAGACCCTGGGAAACCATGTTGTAGAAGACAGGAGTAACGTCATCCACGGCCAGGGACTTGTAGGCCATGCCGAGGATGCCATCAAAGTTGGCATTATTGAAGTTGGTGCCAGGCTCGTTGGTGGACTCGGCAAAGGTCTGGCTGGTGACGCTCAGGCCGTTGACATCGACGGTATCGGTGGACAGGTAACCGGTGAGGCTGCCAGTTCCATACTGGATGGAGAAGGACTCGCCGTTGGCCACATAGGTGGAGCTCTCGCTGGAGTCGTACTGGTTGTGGGTCAGGCAGGCATCGCTCTGGCAGGTGTTGGAGGGCACCCACAGGTTGGAGGAGCCGGAATCGAACAGCACCTTGAAGCTCTGAGCTGGAGTACCGATGGAGATGGCTCCGTAGTAGGCCATGTTCATCGAGTTGGACAGCTGCTCCTCGTCAACGCTGCGGGCCTGGGGCAGTTGGTACTTGGTGCGCAGATACGACTTCTCGGCCAGCACATTCTCGCGGGTCTTCACGAAGTTCTGCTCCTTGAGGATTGGCACGCGATGCAGCTCGGCGCTGGCCAGGGCCACCAGCACCGCGATCACAGCGATGGACTTGAACATTCTCACTTGGCTTGTTGTCTACTCGAGTTCGACTAACTGACGATCGGAGCGCCCGGCCCTAATTTATAGCACTTGCCATCAATCACAGCCCAATTTGGAGGACGATAAGGCAATGTGATGTGACTCGAGTGGCCTGTCTTGAGGCGTTTAAGTCCAAAAGGCTTTATCTATCGATAATTATAATCTATTTGGTGGGCATATCATCACTTGAGGTGGGGATGAGGCGATGTTTTTCCCATATGTTAGATAACTCGCTTCTATAGAATTAAATCAGCAGAATCATATGCGCAATTGAAGGTATTTCAATATTTGTTTGATAAGTAGAAACTTTTGAGATTGTGTCTAGTAATGAACTTTGATCCCTATAGTTCTTAGTTATTACAATTTTATGAGAGATATAAGATCAGTGTCCCCCATAATACATATTTTCCTTATCATTTATTATTATTATTATTGGTTCTGCGTATCGAAAGATAAGCCAATAATTTGGCGATAATGATAAGCAGGTGTTGGTCTATGGCTAAACCAAATATATAAAATAAAATAATTATATTATCATGAAGGATAAGCTAGCATGGCACAGATATTAATACACTGTGCCGATACTTGATTTTTATATTTAAACGTTGAGATTAGATTCAAGATTGAGATAATTAATGAAAATTAAAAATATATATACCATTTCAAAGAGATACATTTCAATTCAATTGATTAATTTACAGAAATGCCACCATTTAATTGCCTTAACTCAGATGGAAACATTTTTGATACTTTGGCTTAACTGGCCACAAAATTTCCACGAAAGGCATTCCATTCCAATCAACTTGAGCTTTCCCTCAGCCAATTTTCTCGCTCGTATAAAAATATATATTTCGCTGTGGGCAGATAAAAGAAAATGCAGAAAGAGTCCAAACAGACTTCTTGTATTATTACAACACTCAAATCCTTTTTGAAATCAGATTTAAAATCAAATAAAATCCTTCTTCAATTGGCGCAACCTTAAGCGAATGCGGACAATGACGATTCATTTTGTGTGATTGCGCTTTACTGCCGGAGAAGGGAGTGAAAGGACCAAAAGGAGCTCGCGGAGGCGCTCGTCCATGTGGCTGGTCATGTGTGGAGAACGAGTGCTCACTGTTCTCGGGTCCTGCGGGCAGCCACAGGTTAATTGTGGTGCAGGGCATCCGCTTATCGCTGGGTCCTGGCCACACACGGACGAAGACCAGGTCAGAGTAAAACGGAGGCATCCACGGGCGAGTGCGTTGCGCACTTTTGGGGCAAATAAAGTAATCAACGGATTTCACGCTCCGTTGGCCAATTTCGGGTGACTATTCTGGGCACACGGGGCGTATGATTACCGATGGCAAAAGGACCTGTATGGCAGTGCGTTTGCGGTGACATTTCATGTGCAATTATTAGGCAGACGCATACATACGTCCGTGGTTGTGTCTCTGGCCCGGCTGTTTATCAATCATTTTTGATTTATGGGCCCGGGCGAGTGGTTGGAAATGGACTTGATTGTAGTCCGTAAATACATAAATAAAGTATACGCCCGGGGTGACCACCACCGGTGAACTAACCAAAAACCCACTCGCCGGAATTGCGATTTATTTGAGTGTTTTTTTTTTTGTCTGTTTATCCTGCGTAATCGGGAATGGCTTAAAGGCTTAGGGTTCCGAAATGCAAATACTATTTAACCGGAGAGAAAAAATAATCAGCAAATATTTACCAATTGTGAATATTTGCTGAAGCGGTGAAATGGAATGCAAGCAAATATGCTTTTATTATGAAAAAATATCGGTTTCGGTCAGTGAACAATTCGCATTTGACATTCGCCCTCAGGTCACACCAGGATGCAGTGGGTGTCTTGGCGAGGAGTATCTCCTTCCGCCGATTGCATCTTTGCAGTTCGCCTGATCGCCGATGCAGCCACTCGTATTTTATGAACTCCACGCCGAGGCACTCAAGTGCCAGGCGATTAATCTGGTAAAATATTGAAGTATGAAATAACAGTGGCAACGGAGGAGGCGAAGCTGGATAAGTTTATGCCATAACCGACGCGTGTCAGTAAACTTATAAAAATCGTATTAAATTTTTAATTTTATGACAAGTGAAATATAGAAGTCTCTATTCAAGAATTGTTCATTTTTTTCTTGAAACAAATCTATGCTGAAACACTTTAAGGTATCTAGTTTAATACCTTTTATTATTTTCCCGGCAACCCATGACCTTTTGTACTTAAAACCAACTGGCCAACAAAGTAGATTACATCCTTAACAAACTGAATTTACCAACATCAAAGCGAAATTATCAGCAATCCAAAATTTGACTACTTAATCTGGCATTAGAAATCCTGTCGAATATGTACCCATTTCAGGCCACAGTTTGACTTCATCCCGTCCAGCTCCCCAAAAGCCATCAACCGGAATTGCCAACACACTTAACCAGAAACAGAACCAGCTCAGCTCAGCTTTTTGGCCACGGTTGTGGCCGTCACCGTCGCTTTACCCAAATCAAGTGCTGCCTAGTCAGCAGAGGCATTTGTCTAACGAGATACTTGACTTGTTCCCTCACCTGTCCACCATGCACTTATGCTCTTAGCTTGGCCAAAAAGCATTGTGGGTTGGTTATCTTTGGTATGTCAGCGACACCCAAAAAAAAAAACTTGTTTCTAACAATTTTCTGGCTCAAAGTATGCAAAACTTTACGAGTACGTTTTTAAAAATCCTATAATCTTTGCTTAGAATAAATTGTCTTCTAATCGGTTTTCGTATCAAAAATGGTAACAAAATGTAACCCAATTTCTATCCTTTCTGCTAATAGCTTTTTTCGGGGTGTAGCACACGGATTGGATTTAGGTTAGGACGATGTCCGGTGGGTGCAGCCTGGACAGAAGTGTAACACGAGAGTCAGACATTGAAATTGCATTGCGTTGATTATGGCCAACAACAAGACACACACACACAGCACACACAACACACACACACACACTGGCCCCCGGCTTCTGAGGGCCGCCTGCCCGCTGCGTTGGTAACTGAAAACCTACTTACGGGGTCGGCAGGCGGGTGGTGCTTCTTGTGGTGGGGCAGACCTGGCTCTGGAACCGGGCTCACGACTCTGCAAATTGAATTTAGGTCATTCAATCCCAATGCCAGGGCCAAGAATTTAAGCCTATGTATTTCCCCAGCATCCCCAGCAATCAAAAAACATACCTCCACGTGCTTTAGTGCCTCTACCCTATGGGAGATGCTTCTAGTGGGGTATATTTGGATTTGGTTTGGAGTTTATATACTAAGATCAAGGGTAAATAAGTATGCATAATTATTACCCAATTAAAAACTTTCCGAATTAAAATTAATTAATTTTTGGTTAAGTAATGATCAATTTTCCATGTGATTCAATCGCAAAAAATCCCTTATTTGTTGTTTATTTAATTCCAGCTCGTTTCTTTGGCAGCTTATGATAAGTATTAAAACTTAACCACTACCAATATCCATATGTACCCCCCAAAATAATTCTAAATACCTTTAGCTTAAATCTCCTCAATCAATTAAAATTACGCCTTTGACCTCCCTAAAAATGGCCTAAAAAATGTACTAATCTTTCCAGTACTTATAATTTCCGACCTTGTGACACTTATTAGCTCTCCCCCATTATTTAATTACTATACATTAATCCCACCATCGTTGACATTTAAAAACGAATAAATTGTCACTAATTTTACCAAAAGCCAGGTAAAGGAAAGCATAATAATTAGGGAAATTATAGCCACGACAACGGCCACTTTTAGTTGCATTAAATTTTAATATACTATATACACCAAGGAAAATTATATATATATACAAGGGAGGAGAAGGGGGAAAAGGGGAAAAGGAAAACCGCTCCTGCCGCGTTGTAATTGGATGCTTATTGAATTAGTGACAAAGTCAGTTGGATTGGGGGCGAAGGATTCTGGCACCGGAAGGAGCTGCGGTTGCTGATGCCAAGGAGCTGGCAACACGCCGGGGTTCCTCTACTCGCTGCCATTTTAGATATTCATCAAATTATTCCTTTTGTCAAATTAAGCAAACAAGCCCCACGCAGCCGGAGACAGAAGATTGATTTGGATTTGTGTTGGCAGACATTTGATTTTGCCCCTGATTCTGATTCTGACCTGAGCGTGTCCCCAGTTCGGTGTCCTTGCGGTGGCTTTGTGTGTGCTTCTGCGATGCCATCTTAACTGATTACACGACCATGGCCAGCGAACATAAGCCGACTAAATGTCCACAAAACTGGCCAAAGCAATCACGACGGCGCAGGTAATACCACTCATCCTTCGATTCCGGTGGTTCTGGCTAATGGAAACTGCTAATAAGTTAAGGACATGGTCAGGGCACTTAACTGCGTGAAGACTTGGTGGAGAAAATGAACTTTTCTTGTTCGTAATTCGCCAAGTTTCACCCAAGTGCTGAGGGTCTAAACTTTGCAACATTGCTATCAATTAGACTCGGGCATTAATCCCTCCAGATATCAACAAGTCACAAACTTTGGCAGTCTGAAGTGTTAAAATCAAAATATTGGAAAGCAAACAATTATGACAATCAATCAAAGCAACAATATCTGCCGTCGATTAGATTGTTTATGACTGGAAATTGGTTAAGCTGGCTATTACCACACTTTACGGACACTTTATAACACGCGACGTCAGCACTTCAGTCTCAACAATCAACTTTAATTCTATTTCTATAGGCATAAGGAGGAGATTTCATCATTATTGGGCTTTTACCAGGGCACAGAAAAAAAAACCCAAGGAAAGTGCAATACTTTTGATTAGAAAAGAGAATACTATTCCCCTGATATTTTATTAATAATTTACTGCTTAGAACATCTCTCATATATTTAATTGACCAAGACACATGCTCGTAAACGAATTATGCCGCACAAACTATTCCCGCCTAAAAGGTCACGTCGTCGACCACTATAGTAATTATAACTGTTAACCTATGATGGTTATATACCATTAAAAAAAAGAAACTCAAAGAAAACTTGTTCTCAAGGGAGCTGA